AATTTCCAAATCATTTCATCTTTTAGAGCATGTTTGCTTCAAAATTTACAAATTATTAAAATCACAGTTTTTTATATTTCAATGTCTTTGAGCAGTTCTATACTGAACTTCTCTGGCTCACATCCAAATCCCTGAATGGTATTCCCTTTTCCTAGATGTACATATCCTGTGTGTTCCCATTGTACCTTGTATGTCCCTAATCATTACACCTTGTCATACATTAATATAATTGCTTAATTGTTTGTGTCCTCCTCTACAATGAAAGCGTCATGCCTCTCTTTAAAAGTTGTGTGAAGTAAGGGAGCAGCGCACAAGACCATCCTCGCTTCTGACATCGACTGCAGAGTTCAGTGGGACCCCTGAGACCACTCTGAGACTTGACAACTCACTGGAAGGACTTACGTAACTCACTGAAAGTTATGATGTTCATGGTTACAGTTTATTATAGTGAGAGGATAAAGATTAAAATAAGCAAAGAGTAAGAGGCATAGGGGCAGAGTTCCAGAAAGTCCCACAAACAGAGGTTCCAATTGTCCTCTCCTAGTGGAGTCGTGGGCAGTGCTAACTTTCCCAGCAACAGTGTGTGATAATATGCATGGAGTAGTGCTAACCAGCAAAGTCCCCCCAAGCCTTGATGTCCAGGGGTTTTGTTGGGGTTAATCATGTAAACCCGTTTGGATGCCCACTTGGCTGACCCTAGTCCCCAGCCCTTCCAGAGGTAAAGCTGATCCTTTTGGCCCAAAATCTCCACCCTAAATCTCACTTTTAGACTATCTGGTGTGACCCAAGGCTCCCAGGTAAACAAAGACACTCTTTTCTTAGAGATCACCTCCCAACACCCCAGGGCAAAAGCCAGACCTCTATTTGGATAAGGTTAATTCTTTATTATACAAGTTGTATTCACTGGCCTGGCAAAGCACCAAGCATGTAAGACATGCTCAGTTAATAATTTTTAATGAAAGAACAAATATCAGATAGACCTAACATATTTAACCATTGACCTGTTAATTGGTGATTAAGATTGTTTCCAAATATTTGCTATTAGAAGTTGGCCAGGTGTGGTGGCTCAAGCCTGTAATCCTAGCACTCTGGGAGTCCAGGCAGGAGGATCACTTGAGGTCAGGAGTTCAAGACCAGCCTGAGCAAGAGTGAGACCCCTGTCTCTACTAAAAATAGAAAAATTAGCCAGCCAGGTATGGTAGAGCATGGGGGTAGTCCCAGCTACTTGGGAGGCTAAGACAGGAGGATCGATTGAGCCCAGGAGTTGGAGGTTGCTGTGAGCTAGGCTGACGCCATGGCACTGTAGCCCGGGCAATAGAGCAAGACTCTGTCTCAAAAAAAAAAAAAAGGATGAGAGGGAAATCAGTACATTCTCAGATGAAGAAAAACTAGGAGAATTTGTCACCAACAGACCTACACTACATGAATGGCTAAACAAAGTTCACTAAGCAAAAAGATAACAATAAAAGGAGGACCCTTGGAACATCAGAACACACTAAACAAAGATGTGGGTAAATACAGTAGATTTCTCCTCCTGAGATTGAAGCAAAAATAATTGAGGTGGTTCTAAATGTTTGTAGGAGAAATATTTAAGACCATTATAAACATGGGAAGTACAGAAACTTAAAAGGATGTAAGATTTCTATACTTCACTCAAACTGCTAACGTGACACCAGTAGATTGTATTAATTTATTTTTATATAATGTAACACCTAGAGTAACCATGAAAAGGCTATACAAAAAGATACTCTCAAAAGCACTATCTAATCAAAAGTAAATTCTAAAATATTTTCAAGTAACACAAAAGGCAGAAGAAAGAAAACAGAGAAACCGAAACACAGAATAAACAGAAAACAAAAATCAAATGGCAGACTTAAACCCTGACATATCAACATTTATGTTAAATATGAAGTCTAAATGTACCAATTAAAACACAAAGACCGGCAGAGTGGATTAAAAGATATGACTCCACTATATGCTATGATAAAATTCAGATACAAAGATATAGTCACCTAGAAAGTAAAAGGATGAAAACATTAATCGAAAGAAAACAGGAGTGGCTATCTAATATCAGATAAAGCTAACCTCAGAGCAAAGCAAATTACCAGAGATAGGAAGGGACTTAATATAATAATAGAAACATCAACCCTCCAACACAACATAGCAGTCCTTAATGTGCATGCACCAAACAACAACATAATGCCAGAACTGAAAGGAGAAACAGACAAATCTACAATTACACTTGGAGATTTGAGCAACACTCTGTTTCACACTCTGTTGTTCAACAGTTGATAGAACTACTAGACAGAAAATCAGCAAGGACAGAACATCATCAACCAACAGGATCTAATCCATATTTGTAGAGAACACTCCTCCCAGGAAGAGACTACACATTCTTTCCAAGTGTACATGGAAATTACCAAGACATACCATATCCCAGGCCACTGAACAAACCTCAACAAATTTAAAAGAATTAACATTATACAGAATGTGTTCTCTCACCTCATGGAATCAAACTAGAAATCAGTAACGGGAAACTCTCCAAACACTTAGAAACTAAACATACTTCTAAATAATCCTTGGGTCAAAGAGAAAGTCTCCAGGGAATATATCTAACTGAATGAAAATGAAAATACAACATACCAGAATTTGTGGGATACAGCCAAAGTACTACTGACAGGAAAACTTGTAGCACGAAATGCGTCTGTTAGAGAAAAGGAAAAGCCTCAAATTAATAATCTAAACTCCCACCTCAAGAACCTCGAAAAAGGAGAGCAAAACAAACCCAAAGCAAACAAAAGTAGAAAAATAATAATGATAAGATCAGAAATCAATGAAATTGAAAACAGAGAAGCAGTGGGGAAAATCAATGACACAGCTGGTTCTTTGAAGAGATCAACATTGACAAACCTCTAACAAGACTGACAACAAAAGAATATACATGCTGCCAATGTCAGGAATGTAACTGGAGCTATCACTGTAGACCCTGTAGCCGTCAAAAGGACAATAAGGAAATACTACAAACAATTCTACACATATTATTTTGAAAACTTTGATAAATGGACCAATTTCTTAAAAAACACAAACCACCACACTCACCCAATAAAGTAGATCATTTGAATAACTATTAAGAAAATTGAATTCATAATTTTAAAACTCCCTAGGCCGGGTGCGGTGGCTCACGCCTGTAATCCTAGCTCTCTGGGAGGCCAAGGCGGGCGTACTGTTTGAGCTCAGGAGTTCGAAACCAGCCTGAGCAAGAGCGAGACCCCGTCTCTACTGAAACTAGAAAGAAATTAATTGGACAACTAAAAATACATAGAAAAAAATTAGCCGGGCATGGTGGCGCATGGCGCATGCCTGTAGTCCCAGCTACTCGGGAGGCTGAGGCAGGAGGATCGCTTGAGCCCAGAAGTTTGAGGTTGCTGTGAGCGAGGATGACGCCACGGCACTCTAGCCCAGGCAACACAGTGAGACTCTGTCTCAAAAAAAAAAAAAGAAATGAAGAAAAAAGAATCTGTGAATCTGTCTCACTCATTACCTTTAATAGAATTCTCACCTATTAATTTTATAATTAGGAAAAACAAGTGTTTTGCATGTATTTCTAACCTTCTGTAAGAACTCACATACTTCACTGCTTTGATTTCTCTCGGTATTGCTTCATTAGAAAATGTAAAATAACATTTATTTCACTATTCTAAGCTCCCTTTTTGGCCTAATCTAAGATTTTGTTTACTGCTAAAGTGTAACTTGAGTATTTTAGCCCTTATTGTTTTTCTCCTGTTTGAACAAAGATGATTATAGAATCATGTTATACAAAGTAAAAGACAGAAAGAATGACTATATCCCTCTTTTCTACAGTTTTTTCCTCTTTTTTTTTTTTTTTTGCAAGAATCATTTCTGGATATTGTCCTAAGAGTTCTACTCTACAGGTTCCATTTTTATTCTTATTTATAATTATTTAAAATTGCATGATTTTTGTATAGGAACCAGCAGCAAAAGAACCTGAAATTAAGACAACCCTTCAGTTACGTTTCTTTGGAAAAAGAGGAGAAAGGAAACTTCATTATAAAGAATTTCGAAGGTAAATGCAAATACTTATATTCATCTGGGGAAATTTTATGAGTAAGAAATGAAGAAACTAAACATTTTTATTTCCAAGAACTATATACCATAAAACTAAGTACTATTTGTTGGATCTATATCATATTTATCTCTGAGAACTAAACACACAAAACATAAACTAAAGTTACTGTGCTTAAAATATTCTAACCTATTATGAAAAGTAGTATCTAGAATACAATAATCCTTTTTGATAACTTAATGTTTGCATCTAAGTGACATGCCCCTAGTATCAGTTTGTTCTTAATGCAAAGCAAACCGGCCCAACTTAACTTAAAACAACAGCCATTTACTATTTACAAGAGTCCTTGAGTCAGTTGGGCAGTTCTGATGGGGCCAGTATCAGCTGATGTTGACTGGATGGGCTGGCTGGCAGCTCTCTTTTCCACGATGGCCTCAGCTGGGACAACTCAGCTCTATTCCACTTAATCTGATTCTCTAGAACCAAGGTTGGCAAACTTTTTCTGCAAAGGGACAAATAGTAAATATGGTCTCCATCGCAACTACACAACTCTATGGTTGTAGTGTGAAAGCAGCCATAGACAGTACATTAACAAATGAACATGCCCGTGTTCCAGTAAAGCTTTACATTAACATTAATTTTAAGCAGCTTATTTAATCTCCCTGAGCTCATTTCTTTATCTGTAAAATGGGAATAATAATATTTACATTATATGATTATTGTAAACATTAAAACTCAGTGTCCTGTTTTTATTAATCATACCTTCTTCCCAAGGAGAATAACTCCATGCAGAATGAAACAGTGTGTCTCCCTGTGCTACTTACTAACCAAAGTCTTAACACAAATATCAGAAAGCAGTAGATAATGGTAGGAAAAAATGCTGATTTGGGAGGCAGAAGACCAGCATCTTGTTGAGCTCAGTTTAATAAAGATCTATTTGAGTGCATATTGTATCCTATTATGTGTCAAGTTGTGTCTCAGACACTAGCTATAGTCCCTTCTGGAGACTGTCTAATAAATACATAGAAAAACATTTACATGCATTGCAGTCAGTGCTTTCCTAGAGTAACAGGGCACTTTGGTCGCACAGAAGATCACTTATTGTACCCTATACTGAAGGTTGGGGGTAGGTAAGAAGAGGAGGCTTTCTTGAAGAAGTAGCACCTAAGCTGAATCCTGACAGATGAGCAGGAATTAACAGGCAGAAGTGTTTTGGGCAGGGAGGCATTTGAGGGAAGGAGAATAGCAGGAGCACAGACATAGAGGCATGAAAATGTATGGTTTGTGAAGGAGATTATGAGCAGCTGGGACTAGATAGAGTAATAAGCATGGGGTGTAGTAAGCATCGGTAGTAAGCATACGTCCTTACCTGTGGAAGGTTTTACATGCCGTGAGACAGAACTTGTTCATTTAACTCAGTGATGGGAGGCCCTGAAAAATGATACATGTAGGATACTT